ATTCTTCCTTTACATCGATCTAGCCATCTGTACTGTTAAATCAATCACTCAATTGTCCATTAATTTTCTACCAATATGCCAATTTAAATATTTTTACAATTTTTATCATAAATGAGTAAATAAATAAAAATAACCCGAGGGGTTTGAAATTGATGGAAATACAAAGCCGAGCGGCGTTAATCCGATTTTTCTGTACACGACACCCTTTAACGTCGTTTTCTTCGCATAGAGGGTTCCACAGAAAAGTTTGTAAAATAAAAGAGAGAATGAGAGGCGTAACTCACCCTTCCTCTTACAAACTCGATCGCCCTGGAGATCAATTTGAAAAAAGTGAGAGAGAATTTACCCCAATACTGAGTTAGCCTGGCCGATTCACAAACTCATTCTGCGTGACTAATTTGCTTCGACCACTCAAAACCATCATGCAGAATGGATACCCGCAAGTTGACACGTGTTATATATCCGAGCAATCCACATGAAATAAAAACAAACCAAATCTTCACAACAAATTTGTAATTTCCTGACAGCACTCGCCCTTCCTTCCACTTCACTTGAGCAAAAAAAAAAAAAAAAAAAAAAAAAAACTTTGAAACTCCGTTGTTTCCTTCTCATATCATGATATAAATTTTACTAAAAGCAAAGTGCCACAGGGCCACACTGGGATAGACTGTATAAATACACGAAGAATAAAATAAACTTCATATATCTCGCCCCAAGCGGTTGACAACATTTTTTCCATATTATAAAGAAAAATCCACTATGAAATAATGAATGTTCAATTTTTTGGAAAATTGGTATTGTCAAGTGTTGAAAACCATACAAAGACGAGGGATTTTATTGGATTGAAGTTATTCATGTTCAGAAATGCCTTAGACACTGAAAAAAGTTGCGATGAGAGAGACGAGAGTGAAAAAATCATGAAAAATGAAAAAAAATAGGTACATCCGATGGAATTTCTGGACGAGTTGATGAAAAAATGCCGAAGAAGAAAGTGAAGAGAAAGAGATGGTGGAAAGTACGGCACGGCGTCTGATTACAAATTTATAAAGAAATAGATCTCGGGACGTCGCCCATTGGAGGGTGGCTACAAAAAAGGGGTGGGTGGCTCTCGATGGGGTGACTCTCGGAAAACTCACTGCCTTTGGTGAAAAGAGGGTAGCGTCTTTGGAAGAAGACTCTCTGGTTGGGTGTAAAATAAAGAGGAATGTAAAAAAGAAGTTTGGCGGTCGGGTGTGTGTGTGTGTGGGGGGCAAGGGAGTCTTTCCGTCGGCTCCTGGGACTGATTGAAGCGGGCACGATGTTTAATTCAAAGAAACTGGAGGCGCGCCCCGCTAACTACACTCCGATACTTTCCCTTCCTCCTTATTCATACTATTTCTATTTGTTTAATTTTCGCCATTGCTCATAAAATTTGCGTCCATTTTGCACCAGCCAAAGCTAATTATCTCCCCTCGCATGTCATTCGTGCGCATGTCCTGAAAGGGTTGGACTTGATTCCCACAATCAATTTTTTCTAATATAATACTGATGGAGATTTATGAGTGGTTGTTATATGTTATACAGCCAAATATATAAATTTTTTTGCATCAAACGCGAGCAGTACTGGTAATGAGAAAAAAAGAGAAGAAAACAATGGAGAAGGGGAAAAACTAGATAAGCTTTTTAGTTTCACTCATTCTAACCCTTTTCAACCCCTCGATGTGGCACGTAGTCCCCGGATAGGTGACGCGTGTGTTTTGTCTCGGGCGAAAAACAAGAGCGTGAAACGGGCAACGTGGCAAATGAAAGGTCGAAAAAAACTATACGTAGGAAGATATATGTACTTTTTTCTTCTCTCCTTCTCACTTTTTTAACTACTTTTTTTTTGCTTCTCGTCATATCCCCGGCATTTTTCACGACACAGGAGTTGTGAAAAAAAAAAAAATTAAGGGCACGCGACAGCTGTAGAAGGGTTGACAATTAGCATAAAGAGCCAGAAAATATGCCATAAGCAGCCACATAGGCTGATTTAAAAAATCCTCTTACTAAAGCTCAACTAATGAAAAAAGGAAAAATATATGAAATGACTATTATATTGCGGTAGTAGGTTGGAGATATGGACGAAGTGTATATAGTTTTTTCCTCAAGTGATAGTAGCGCGGTCTTGGGCAAATCGTATGGGGGGGGGGGGGCTCTAGTAAATGGTTCGATAGAGTTATAGAAGTGAGCTCTATTCCCCTTTGTACCTCTATACTTCTCCACTGCTCATCCACCGAACCCTCCCTCGGGGATGCGACGATGCGTGCACCTATAAACTCGGCTTCTTCTGCGCACCGCCGCGCCACAGAGTGCCCACTTGATCTTACCATATATTTGCTCCATTAAATCTCATATTTTCCTTTCTAACAACAATTCCCCACGTCTATCTATTTCTTATTCATTTTTAAAACACTTTCTACTCCCATGGACTTTTCATGTGGAAAAATTGAACGCTTGGAAATATCTTGGGCGTTGTATTTCACCAGAGTAACCAAAAAATTCATTCGGAAAGAATGAAAAATTTTGAAAGAGAATGAAAAAAATGACGTTAACAATGCGTGACGGTTAGCGAGAAAAAAAAATCACTCTCGAGGCGTATGGAGTCAAGAATTGAGTGAGAAAAAAGGCAAACACACTTGGCATGGCACTTTTTTTTTCAATGCTTAACAATTTTTTGAGGTGAGGAGAGGGAAAAAAATGCACCCCTTAACCTTAACAACACCGAGGGAAAAATCATGTCGAGTATATCGGTGATCCCTGATTGACGTTTGAATGTTCCACATGCATATAAAGTTGGATTCACCCTCGCCAGTGCCAAGTCCCACCCCCCGGAAGCCCCCGGGATATAACTGTTGTAATTTAACGAGCTCTTACCACTGCTGCACTTTTATTCCTCCTCGTTTCATATTTTTTGCTACATTTTTTTTAATACTCGCGCCCAAATAGAGGGAAATGCGATCGTGCGAGAGTGAGTGGAAATGCCCGTCAGAGATGTCAAGGTACAAGAAGAGAACGAAATGGAACGGAATAGCGAACAACGCAGAACAAGAGGGTGAAACCGTTGAATTTGAATAGGCCTCATACACCCCATGATAATTCCGTGATTTGAAATTTCGGGAGTTTTTTCACGGGAAATTCGAGAGCGAAACGATTTTTTGCTGAGTCAATCAACATGTGCAGTGCTCAGGAAATCTCATTTCAATCTCTCCTTCATTATTTTGCTATTTTACAATGCAATATAATGGAGATGTATAATTAAAGTATTTAAATCAACAGAGAAGTCAAAAGGGGGAGTCGCGGAGTGAAAATGAGGAGAGCAACCTAGTGGTATGACCAGAGCTTGGGAAGACAGCTCTATATACCGCTTCCATTTCTCATGAAGAATACATTACACCCCACTATCCATTTGATCCTCATCGTATAAATCGTATAAGCCAGCCAATAAAGGAATACACAGACAGTAAGTTTAATTGACAATAGTAAAAAAAAAAAACATAACATAGTCCCGCGCTGTTCAATGAGTCTAGCAGTCGTTTCCTTCTCTGAAAATCTGACAAACCATTTGAGTGGAAAAAAATTTTTTTTTCAAAACTTAACACTCAAGCCTCAAGCTCTAGTATCGCCTGACATTTATTCAGCCCAGCGAGTTGTTGTCTCTTTCATTCAATCCTCATTTTTATTTTTACATATTTGCAGACAACCGCGAACAATACGAGTATATCGAGTGTAGATAGACACCGCATTGTTCAATCGTGTGGTCCATGTGTAGAGCAAGGCTCAACGAGTCTGGCCCCAGTGGTATTGGTCGAGACGCATAAAACAAACTTGCATAAACAAATCAACTCTTTTTTGCGGGTAGTTGGCATCGATAATTGCATGAATATAGTGAAAGAATAGCCCAATGTCCTTTTCACAATTAACATTGAATCAATTGGAATTTCATAATTTATCACAGAATTATTCAAAATGTTTAAATTTTTCCCAAAATTATAATTTTTTCAGAAGTTTTAACGTGGCACCGTTATCTATGTGATATGTTTTTTCCAACTGTTGATTTGCTATATATTTTTTTAATACGTCATATCACAGCGGTAAAAGTAGTCAGACAAATGACAATAAAGAAAGCATAGAAAATAGATAAAATGACTCACAGATATTGAATGTACTTGTGCTTCTATTACTGAGTGTCCTCGAGTGATAAATGTTCATCATCTCCAGCGCTTTACCCTTCTGAACACAATACTTGATATTTAAACAGGCACTATACATTATAATGAAATTATAAATATTCCGCATGATAGAAAAATACGAAATACCCGGTAAAACTAAGATTGCACATTCAGAGTCATCTTACGTATTTAACAACACATCGACAACGACGTAACTGACGAAATCACTATAAGATCAATGATCACTTCACAATCTCACAGATCAGATCCACTGTGGGTATATTCTCCTCTCCTCGCAGTTCGCACCTTCACATTTTTTTTTTTTTGATTAAAAACTCAATAAATAACAAAAGGTGTCTTTGTCACGAGAATTGAACTTCAGGTGCCATCTTGTGGCTGTAACAACACTTTACAAATAGCTCCGTCACTATTTGTAATTCATCGTTAATTCAACATCAAGGCCAAGAATAATTCGTCATCAGATCATTTTTGTGCATAATTATCCATCAATTGCTACATTATTTATAAAGTCTTGGAAGTTTACTTTTGCAAAAAATTTGCTTTCCAAATGCTCATAACTGACTGATCCTCACCAATTTTATGATAATATAATTTTTAAATATGGCAATTAACAACTTTATAAGCATATTTACGATTGTTTAAACGATTTCTAGGAGAGTTTTTGTGGGAGACAAGAGAGCGTAGACGCTAGCTGTCGCTCTTATAACATTTCAAGGTCAATTTTGGCAATTTTTGTGCAAACATCATATCCCAATAATACATCGACGAAATAATAATTAAGGAGTATGCAAATTACAATGCAAAATGTATATTTTTTATAATGGAACAGTTGATTTTTTTTTTTAATAGTCTAGCATAATAAATAAAGCCAAATGTAAAGTTTATAAAACAATTGACTATCATGAGAGGGGATTAAATGGACTTGCTAGTGATGGCTGGATATAGTAATTAGCATAATATGATGATTAAGCACCGTTTTGAATACCCGCCAAATACTCCTGGTATTTTTTTTGCTGCGCCTGTTGCAGTTTTATCAATTTTTTCAACTGTCCCTTGGTGATTTCCTTTCCTTCGGCGTCATGTGTTGGTAAGCCATTATCATCGAATGTTGAGTACTTATCGGTTTGTAATGTGAACATTTGTGTAGGTGGAATTTTTTTCAGCGCTTCTTTAGCTGCATTGGCAGCCACCGCCTCAACTTTTTTCTTCTCTTTCTCTGCGTTTTTCTCTGCCTGAAATCGCTTTTTAATCTCTCTTTCCTTCAACAATTCATCTCTATTGACTAATTTTATTCTGCAAATCCCACTGTCATCGTCTTCCAAACGTACACCCATATTTGGTAATACTTGATCTCGTAATCTGTCACATTCTTGGAGAATCTCACATGCTCTTATTGTTTTCGCTTGGCAGCGTATTTTCTCTCTGAATTCACCAAGAATATTTAAATAAGGCAAGACGGTTTCTTCAACATTGATAAAATTTGTTGAATCAGCCTCTATGGGAAAACCAATGCCATCATTTGGAGTAGTAATTGCTCCAAAGATTGTAAAAATTTTAGTAATGTATACAGCGATATCCCGAAGTAAAAGTGTATTTGTTGGAGAATTGACTTGTTTGATATAAATATTGCAGTGACCAACAAGTTCGCGGATCACATCGAGAACTGTTCTTGTATCGATATTATCACACAGTGCTGTATGAATTGCGTCTTTAGCAGCAGATAACTTTTTATTAAGCTCAAGCTCAGGCTTATTCCACTTGACAAATGTTTCGAGTGTTGTTCCTGCGCCAAGAGATCGAATTTGGCATTTGACATTGAGAAAAAATTCATTCAAGAACTTTTCATATTGTACCGCCATATCCATTGTATTATCACTGTAATCCAACGTATCTTTCCAAGAATGGAGTAAAAATGCCAGTCTGAGTTGTCTCGAGGTGTGTCTCTTGAGAGCCTCTTGAATGGTTATAAAATTTTTCAAGGACTTTGACATTTTGCAGCCCGATATGGTCAAGTGTCCAGAGTGTAGGAAGTATTTGACCCAGTGAGAATTATCGAAGTAAGCTTCAGCCTGGGCTATTTCATTATCATGATGAGGAAACTTGAGATCAACACCACCAGTGTGCATATCCAAGCTCTCACCGCAAATTACCGAAGCCATAACAGAACACTCGATGTGCCAGCCTGGTCGACCTTTTCCCCAACGACTCTCCCACCACGGTTCTCCAGCTTTCGACGATTTCCACAGAGCGAAATCCGTCGGCGAACGTTTTTCAGAAAGTCTTTCCTCCGATATACACAAATCACCCTCACCTTCCTCAAGGCTAGATGCATCCCCATATGCTTCAGGTACTAACTTGGCATAATGATGATTCTCTTTCTTATCAAATGCTCCAACATCAAAGTATACTGATCCATTACTCTCGTACGCCAAACCACGCTCCATTATTCTCTCAATATATGCTATTATTTCGGGTACATACTCACTGACCCGTGTCAACACATTTGGTCTCAAGACATTAAGTGCATCCATATCTTTATGGTACTCTATCTCCCAATGCTGCGATAATTTATTGAATAATGCATTTTCAGTTAGCGATGTACCTAATCTCTTATCTAACCACTCCGACAGAGGATCTTTTGCCTCAACCAATAGCGCCTGAAACAATCATTATGTTATATTTATTATTAAAAATCAAAATAATTTTTATATTTTTATTTCATCACTCATTTATTTACGTGTTGATGCTCTTTAATCACTTCGCTATTCCCATTATGTACTGCCCTTTCAAGATTTTCAACGGCTGATTTGACCTTTCCCAACATTTTCTCTAACATGGCCCTCTTGTCAGTATCAGTTGTACTCCTCACCGTCTCTTCAAACACTGACATTACGTTTTTTCCATCTTCCAGTACAACATCCAATGATTTATCTTCCTCTATATATTTTTCATAGAGATGCTGCTGCCTGGCACGTTTAATTATTTTATCGTCGATATCAGTAATGTTCATCACATAGAGGATATCGTAGCCAAAATAATCCGATAATACTCGCCGTAATATATCGAACGATATGTAGGACCTAATTATTAAGCATACATTATATTATTCAATGACAAATTGTATGGTTTAATTGAGGAAAAGAAACAAAAAAAAAATATGGTGCTTGGAAATTTCATGTTGAGCGCATCATCTGCCCTCTCAATCAATTTGATGGAGTAAGTATGATGCAATTGTTTACAGAATGACGAGAAATCGCAAGTTAATCCAATAAGTAACTATATGTTGTGTATAATTGAAGGCTAAAAAAAGCTAAAGAAAGTACAAATAGAAATTCATTTTAGTTACCTGGCATGACCCATGTGAGATGCATCATAAACAGTTGGTCCACAGCTGTACCAGAGCACTCGATTTCCATATTGAGGTACAAAAACCTCTTTTTGACGTGTCAAGCTGTTGTACAGTTTCAAAGTTGCACCACACTTGCTCACTGGTGGATTCCAACTCGGTTGGCAACGTCTTGACATTTTTTTAATAGAATATTCTAAATCGTTTTAATAAGGTTTTTTGTTTTCAAGGGCTGTCTCCTCACGTGTCATCCTGAATAGATGAAATATACGTGTGCATCACGGAGAATAGGTATCGAGAGTTTATAACCGAAATAATCAAGATTAAAAAAATTCTTTTAATGATAAAGAGACGAGAGTACTTTACTTACCATATACAACAAGAGTTTTATCCGTTGAAAATTAAATGACGTTGAGCTGGGTTCAGGTGCTGCAAGTGGCAGAAATGACAAAATGTGGGCCTACTGAGGCTGAGGCAGTTATCGAGTCGGCTGACGAGTAGACACCCCCATTGCGTGTGGCGTCCTCCCTCTCCTGGGGTGCAGTACTACGATGCCGCTGGGGTCACTCAAACCCCCAGAACTGAGCCTCTACTTTAGTCAATCCTCTTTGCTCTCCGCCATGACACTTTTCAGTCCATGCTTTTTTTACTAAAGGTCTGCTAAAGGTCTAAAGGATTGAAAAAAAGGAAAAGGAAAGGATAGTGAAACGTGGAAAGATTTATCACAAAATGCAAGTGCCTGCGGTTTTTATGGATTTACCGCCTGAGGATCAGGTAAGTGATTATTTCACATAGTTGATTGAATTTGAAAATTATTTCATGAGCAATGGTTTGTCTCCAATGATAAAAAATTTTCAATTCAAATGACCCGAAATTAGTAGATAGATTCGAGGTTAGATTTTTTTACTCTACTCGCCTTCGATGTGTGTAATTAATTTACAAATTAATAGACAATAAGAGGGGCTTCAGTTTTATTTATATTTTTCGTAATAGTCACATGATTTTAGTGAACATGTCAGTTTTAAAAGAAGATAAAAAAATTTTTAGGCCCAGGAATTGAGAATTTACTTCAAGAGTTTGGGGGCCGAAATAAGTGATGAGAAATCACCCCGTGGAATTGAAGATGATTTGCACAAAATAATAGGTGTTTGTGATGCCTGTTTTAAAGAGGGCAACGAAGTAGAAATTGAGAATATCCTCAACGATATCGTCTCCATTCTAATTCACATTCCAGTGGAGAGAGCTGAAAATTTAATTCTAGCATTCTGTGAAAAACTTAAGAAAGCCCCGGGCCAAAAATTGGGACTGGTCTGCCTAAAAGCTCTCTGGCTTCTCTTCCAATCTCTAGAGGAAAAGTCCCCGATGAGATATCACGTTTACTATAATCTTGTTCAAGTTGCTAGAAATGTTGATCAAGTCAAAGCTGTTTACAGTGGAGTTGAACAGTTGAAGGAACAATTTAAGGCATTTCCACCTAATAACGAGCAAATGCAAAAGTTATTGCGTTTGCTACATGAAATTCTTTTGAGTTGCAAACAAGGGTAAGTTGAATGAAAACATATTGCTATCTGCATATAATAAATTCAAGACTAATTGTTATTGATTCTGTTTTTATGATATATTTGGGCTGTAGAGATCAAGCTGCTGCTGTAATGGTAGAACTTCTTGGTACTTACACAGCGGAGACAGCTTCTGAAGCACGTGAAGATGCCATGCATTGCATTCAAGCCGCTCTAGCCGATCCAAACACTTTTCTCTTAGATCCACTACTTGCTCTTAAGCCAGTTAGATTCCTAGAGGGTGAACTTATCCACGATCTTCTGCTCATTTTTGTCCAAGAGAAACTGCCATCTTATATACAATTTTATAGTAATCACAAAGAGTTTGTAGAGCATACTGTCGGTGAGTACATATCAGCATTTCATTTGTATTTTTATATGGTTTCTCATTTTTTCAAAAATTTTTCTAGGCTTGAATCATGAACAGAATATGAAAAAAATGAGACTGCTTACATTCATGCAACTAGCTGAAACAAATCCGGAAATGTCCTTTGAGACTATTCAAAATGAACTTCAGCTTGAGGAGAATAATGTCGAGAGTTTCATCATTGATGGTAAAATTTTATACTACCCATCAATGAGTAAATTAAAAATAATCACCTTGTTAATTTCCATATTCAATATTCTCGGTGGATTTTTTTTTTGTCTGACGAGAATACAATTAACAGGGAAAATTAAACGAATTCATACTGGCTCGTTAATTTCTCTCAGTAATTAAGGAGTTATCGACTTATTCAATAATTGAACAATCATTGAAAATTCTTCGGACTAAAGGTTCAAGTAGGAAATAGAATCAATGAATCATTTGATGAGTTTTATTTTTTATGGGTTATTACAGTCTTAAAAACCAAGCTTGTTCGTGCACGTATGGATCAAGCAGGTCGGAAAGTGCTCATTTCTTCAACAATGCATAGAACATTTGGCAAGCCCCAGTGGATGCAATTGAGGGATCTTCTCGTAGCTTGGAAGACGAATTTGTCATCAGTCCAGGATGGAATGAAATCGGTGGCATCGGCGCAGATGGAGCTCGCTGCAAAAACTAAAGCCCCATTGGCCCACTGATAGTGGTAGTTTGAGTTTTTTTTCCATCTCTCCAAGGCAGATCAATGTAAAAGAAACTCTCCATCATTGGGTTAAAAAAAAAAAACATGAGACAAATACACCACAATATAATTGAAATCTTAGTTTTTTCACATTATTCCGTCGAGGGTCAGTACAAAAAAAAAATACCAATACATACATTAAAATTTATTGTAAAACGTCGATTTTTTTTTTACATTGACACTCGTCGTTCAATTAACACCATAAACTTAATTGCTAATTTGTCGAATAGAATTTTAATCAAGGAAAATATGGAAATAAATACTGCCAATTTAATAATAATAATAATAATATATATATATATATATGTATATTGTTTATTTGTATCTGAAATGTATGGAATACTACATTTTACATATTATTATCTACAGGTATAAAAGCAATTACAACTTTTTTATTTTATCTTTTGAGGATATAATCGAATCATCCTCTAATGATCTTTTTTGACAATTTTGATGTACCAGTTGATCTTCCGACTGATATTTTGATTTCATCCGTTCTAAAACAACTTGCTGATACTCTTGTTCGGATAATAAGTTTTTTTTCATTTCCTCGTAAATTTTAATGTTGGGTAGTATAATTGCTAGGTAGCCACCCTTGTGAGGTGGTTCTTTAATCGACTGGGGATCTTTCACAAGTGTTTCATTGACTTCAATTAGTTTACCCATCATACAACACTTGATACTCCATTTTTCACCACTGTCACAATATATTATACAAATATTTGAGCTCTCTTGCAATGGCTGTGCCCCATGTTTTCCTTTTCCTGAGACTTTATTAGCAGCCCGATCTAATTTCTCAGTCACTTTGAAGCTTATACGCTCAATTTTTACACCATTTCGAAGAAGTGGATGACTCGGAGCTAAGGTCAGCATACAAATACGATTACTGTGAATTCTAATGCAAATATCATCCAGGGGCTGTTGAATATTTAATTTGTAATAAGGCGTGAAATAGCGATCTGTCACACTAGAAAATTGTGTTTTCAATGAAATTTGGTCAAGCATATCAGTGATGCCCTCATCCTCTGGAAATTCAAAGGAATCGTCTTCTGGTATAGAATCATCATCCTCCATAATTAACTTGTCTAGTCGTTCTACTGGTGTTTCTGCCATTTTTATTATTGACTGATTGATTAATTGGTTTATTTATTTATTTATTTATTTATTGCTTGTTTGAGTTTTTTTCAGCTTTCAACTTTTTCCTAGCATTTTCCTGACGGATGCGCGATTGTTCTCTGTTTGCAGCAGCAAGATTGAGTTTCTGAAAAAGGCAACAGCCAATTATAATTCACAAATTTACTTGCAATTAGAAATAATTTAAATTAAACGGCGTACGTTTTGTTTAAGACACTTTGTCAAAGCCACATGTACATCAGAGCACTTTCCAAAAATTTTGCTTAATGCATGATGCTGTGGACCAAAAGAAGAAAAAGAAAAGTAAATACAAACAATGATAAAAAGGATGAAAGATATTCATTTCCACTATAAATGAGACATGTTTAATATCGTATATACATATACTTCTGCATACTGATTTTTCACACTCCTGGACCTGATAGTACAACTCGTTACAAGCTCCTTGATGGAGAGGCAACCGTGAATAAGTATCGGACATTATTTGCTCAAATACTTGATTTATGTAACTGGTATTACATAAATAACATAGGTATTCTCAGCAGTGATCCTTTCAAATTGTTCAAACAGTTTCGACTACGTACCTAACACATTAATCTCACGATTACTTTGAGGTTACGAATTCCATGCTAGAAATATATAGGTAGTAGCGCCTGTGGCGCCTTTGTTCGATGTAATGGCAATGTATGCCAATTTTTTTATTAACCAAGTTTTTATTGCAATGCTGGGGTGTCCATCAAGTCGACGGGGTGAATTTTATTTTCTGCTGTACGAATGCTTTTTGTTTTTCATTTGTTTAACTGAAATTTAGCCGACTGTAGCACGTACGGAAGGGGGAAACCACATCTCGTGGATTTTCAATGGAAAAAATTATTCAATGTATTGAATATATACCACTAACGAATTTATCATTTTAAATGAGCACGTTGTCCTAGCAGTAACGTGCACGACTGGCACGCCGACGGCCCGGGTTCGATCCCGCCGTCATTCATTTTTTTTTTTTAAATAATTCCAATTTTTTCTTTAGGTAAGTATTCACCGCAATTGAAAAATTCGAAATTTTTGAAAAAGTATCAGGGTAACATGAACATCGAGGAGCTATTCACTGAAATTTTCACTGAAAGTGAAAAATTCGAAATTTTTG